ACAGTTGATTTTGTGGAGTTTGTTTAAGAGTGTTTGTGTCGTGACCTTGTTAAGGAAACGCTGTGAGCTAATCGACAGACGGTATATATATATATATTTATATATCTGACTGTTCCTGTTGCTTTAGTACTTCAGTGAGCCGATATAATCTACAAGATCTGCTTCACAAACAGCAGCGTTTGCTCAGAACGTGTCCTTCCTCAGAAACGCACACAAAGAAGGGCAGATGTTTGGAGGAACAGACCGCTGAGGTCTCCACATCCAAAACTCAGACGAAATTCAATTACCGTGCCAGCTTTAAATTTAATAACCTCGTTTAACAGAAAACTTTCCAAACTGAGGCCGGAGACCCGCACACAGCTGGTAGCTTTTCAAAGCCGTGTTTGTTTGCTGCAGCTCAAGGTCTCGCTTTGAATATGAGCGACTGAGGCGGATGCTTTTGTTCTGAATAAAAACTCTAATGTTTACAGACCCTGCTCCTCTCGCTTCCCCGTCAGGACACTAAATATAGAGGCATTTATGTGCTTTTAGTCTCCAGATCTCCAAAAGAGGCTCATTCTGAGCACATCAGTCCTGCTTCACCCTCATCAAACACATTACAGTATCAGTGTGCACTTCTGACAGCATACAGTCTCTCGGTAAGCACTCAAAAATACTCAAGTAATATGTGACTAATATTGAACTGTAATTAACCCTGACGTATGAAATAATAGTCAGAAAAATCTAAATAAATTTTTTAAAATGGAACGGTTTATTAAACATTTAGACAAAAAAAAAAAAAGATTTATATATGTTGTTGAGTATCACATTTATTTAATGAATTTATAGAATATGGATGAAAAACAGCTCCGTTTTATTAAGAGTCTCAAAAGGAATATGCAATATGCAATGCTGACATTTATATGGCCAAAAAGATATATTTAATGTTTATTTTATAAATGAAGTGAGATATGTTGTCTTGGTAACAAAACAAAATAAACTAAGTTTGGATTTTTTATATTTTATTTTATTTCAGTTTGTTGCCAAGGCAACATTTCAAATTTGTGTTTACTTGTTATAGTACAAAAAACCCTAAAACTGAAGAATTCATAAAGAAAGAAAGAAAGAAGGATATGTAGTGAGAATATGGAGGAAAATCAGCTCAATTTTATTCAGAGACCCAAACTGAGCAAAAATATGAGTTTGCTGCAGATGCTGATATTTCTGTGATGAAACTCTGCTGCTTGTAATGTAAATCAATGAGATCTTTATAACAGTATAGAGCAGATACTGAGATAAAATGATCTAAATATCAGTCATCGCTCTATATCTGCAGTAATCTGTCTCCGTAAGATGAGATTGAAATGATCCAAACATACAGTGGGTACGGAAAGTATTCAGACCCCCTTCAATTTCGACAGGAGACGTGAAGAGATCGTGTGTGAAACAGGACAGTTTTGATCATTTACAGCCTCAGAAATGATATTGATGCATATTCAGACGTCTCCACATAAACGCGTCTGTGTCTTTTAGAAACCCTGACCTGTCTCTGACCAGTCTCTGTTAGAGCTCATGCTTATCCAGAGCGGTTTTTAAAAAGTGCTTTAGCTTCACGAATGAGAGTGTTGCGGTCAGCAGAAGACAAGCGTGCAACTCAGCAGGTTATGAAAGAAATGCTTCCTATATAAACACAAGAGATCAGACACATGCACCTTCTATATTATAACCATTTTTCATAGGTTAGAATAATGGTAAAGTGCATCATTTTATAAAATCTCTATCTGCATCGAGAGTTAATTTAGTATCATTGAGATACAATTATAGTTTTAAATTTTTTTTTTAAATTAGTTTCTATTTTTGTATTTTCCATTGAATTATTTTTTTTTAAGTTAAATTTTAGTAATTGTGTTTTTTTTTTAAATATGTCTATACAGTTTTTATACATTTTTATTTCAGTTTTAGTTTTAGTTATTTTAATGCATCAAGATAAACTAAATGAAAATGAGAAAGGTTGCCTAGCTGAAATGAAACAATTATTTTTTAAATATATATTTTTTAAGTTATTGGACTTTTTTTTTAATAAGCGTACTATTATATATACTATTATACATTATATTTGAAAAAAATAGTAAAATCATGAAAACACTAAAATAATACAAAATTAAGTTTTAAAGAAATTCCTACATAGATAAAATGTATATTTATATATATATATATATATATATAGGAATAGAATAAGAGAGATGATTCCATCATTTGTGTGTGAAGAAGACAGGACAGCACTGAGCTGTAGGGGTCAGAGGTCAGGGGTCAGAGGGTCCAGACCGGATACTGAGGGTCTGTTAACTTCCGGGACGAATGTTTGGAAACAGATCGGAGCAGATGTGCTACACGAGAAGAGTTTGGGAATCCTGCCCTCTTTAATCCTTATTGATTCATCATGCAACAAACACAGCAACTGAGACTACAAACACACCGGGGCTAGTTGTCCCAAACGGCCATATCACATCCTCCAATGTCCAGTTGCATAAATCGTCAAACCTCTGGGGAATCTGTCCTATAAACAAAAGTATAATGTTTGTGTAATATCAGTAACACAATGAAAGCACACTGACATACATTTACATTCAGACGGGAGTCAAGAGCTCTTCTCTGGAGTATTTCAGAGAAACATCAGGGCGGGGCAAGTTGTCACACATTTTATATGTTGTAATTTTACACCTTTAATGAACTATATCTTTACATCTTCAGGCTGAACAATGGTTTGTTAACACATCAAATAGCCTGAAACTTATTTTAAACAGATACTTTGTAGATGATGCCTTTTTTTTGCTTTACTTTAGATATTTCACTCTTCAAAATCATTCTTCTTGCAGCAGACTCATATTGTGACATTTTCTTTCTAATTTAGAATTTCAGAGTTTATGTCTGAATTTAAAATAAAAAATTTATAAAAATATATTTAGATAAATAGTAGCTGCATATAACAGCTAGCCCCAATTTCCCAATAAAGATTAAAGAGATTAAACAGAATATAGAATCATAATAGTGATTAAAAACATTTAAACGACATAAAAAGCAATAAACAAAAAAGGAATGGACATATTAATCTTCCCAGAGAACTGGGCTCATTTCATGCCAAATTAAACAAAGAACAAATCGCCTACAACTTCATGTTTTAAAGCAGGGCTTTACAGTGTTTTAGATGAACACAAATATGATCATCCTCATGCAAAGAAACCCATCCTAAAACATAAAAGCCATGTAATATATATATAGTGTCTCGTATAAAGACCCAAAATACCCGATTTATATAAAATAAAGGTTCTAGAGGGTGTTTTTCGCAGTGATGAGAACCTCTTAATGATCAGTTCTTAAAAGCAAGATTTTTTAAGTAGTGTGAAAAACATTTTAATAATCTGAATAACTATTTTCCACTATAAAGAACGTTTTGTCCAATGGACATATGTTAAAGGTTCTTCACGAAACCATCAATGCAGATAAAGAACCTTTATTTTTTAGAGTGTATAGGGTGAAGTCAGCTCAAATGGGCCAAATAAGGTTGTCATATCTCTTTACATTTTTACAGCCAATCACAATAACTGATCTAGCATTGTTGCTTCGACACTTGTTGACATGTAACAATAATGTTAGAGTTTTTTAAGGCGGGCAGAGTGTTACATTGTACGGTAAGTGAGCCTGACAGTAAATTTCATTCATCACTAATGAGGGTACTAAAGCAATTATAAGTAAGCTTACCAACAAAGCAAAGGTTTATGAACAATGCTCTTAAAAAAAAAGAAAATTGGATTTTTGTGAAAAAGGTCATTTTAGGTAGAAATGGTTATTTAAGCTAAAAGGGCCACTATTTTTTCGGCTAAAATGGGCTGCATACACACACACACTTTTACACAGAGTTTGAGGGTGAAAATAGGTCTAGATATGTATCCATACAAAATATTAACAGTCTTTTTAAAAAATTGCATTGTAGACAGTATGGCAGGAGGACAAGCAAAGAAAGGAGAGACAAGAAGAGAGAAGAGAAAGGGAAAGAAAGGAAGAAGTACACTTGACTCGGTGCAATGTTAAGACCTACAGTAGCTACAGGACATGTTTAAGTGTTTTTATTTATTTTTTCTAATCTTTAACAAAATGTGTGACAAATATTTGACAAGCATATGCACACAAAAGACACCAATGCACAGAAACACACACCTATACAACATGATCAGTTCTTTTTTAATCGCATTGTGTAATGAAATATTCTTTCAACTTTCTATTTAATGAAATACATTTATGGTGTTGTTGCTATGGCACACTAAAGACAATAGTGTCAATTTATTTGTTGCTCAAGAAGATACCTGCTGATACTCTAACTCTCATCATTTTAAAAGTTATAGTTTTTCACGTAAAAATTTTTTTTTATATATATATATATATATATATATATAGGAAGCGTGGTGTTGACTTGGCGGTGCTATTTGTTCTATTGTAGCAAAGCGCAGTCAGATGTCATGTTTCTAGAGCAGAGCGTGGCAAATGTGCGGCTGCGTGCGTGAACACTCCTCACGCGCGCTGCTGATGGGAGATGACAGGAAAGACTGTAGCAGTCGGAGGCGATGAGAGTCGAACGTACCCCCGCTTTAATAGAGTCGAAAGCGCAATGATCTCTGAATGCAAAGACACAAGCGCTACAAAGGCATGTGTGTGTGGATCAAGGCGCGGACACATGGAAACATGATGGGCTTGAGGCATGATACACACAAACACACACACACACACACACAGATTGTGTCTCAAATCTGATGAGCGCAGATTCACAGCAGTTCCGAGTCATCTGTTGCGTATTTACGCATCGCATCCACACAGTTCCCAACGAACTAAACTTCGGCTCAGTTCGGTTCGGTTCGGCTCGATCCGCTCGTTCCGCGAATACAGCGCTACTGGTTTTAGGAAAATCCCCAGTTAAACGCGTTAAAGCGGAGAGCCGGAGCGCACGCTTAAACTCCACCGGAGACCGACAGCACAACACGCCCCTCTGCTCGCGTCGCGGTGACGTCACGCTCCTCCGGCGGCGGTCCTAAAGTCGGTAACGAACGGACAGACACAGTAGAGTTGAACTAGTCCAGAGACGCTGACCGGGGCGTAACGTTAACAGCTGCTCAGACAAACGGGAATAATTTCGGTTTGGCGCGGAGCGCGAGAGGAGCGCGGGGTGGCGTTCGCGAGACTCCCGCCATGGATCGGAGACTTTTAACGGCTTTCCTCTTCTCCTCCGTTATTTTCATGATCTCAGCCGAAGCGGGTCCAGAATCCCAAGGTAAGACCATCGGTTGTTTTCTCAAACAGGAGATTCTCCTCAGTCGCGTAGCGGAGCAAATCAACTTTATAAAGTTACTTTATTAGCGTCTGATGCCAGATTGCGTCTGTATTGCTCTGTCGCCACAGCCCAAACTTTCCCTCAGAGCCGCTGGCGCTCAAACCTAGCGAACTCTGCAAATCTTCGCCTTCTTCTGAGGAAACATTACCTCATTTTCTCTGTACATTTCGTTTAAAACAACCATCCCGTGTGTCTTTTGATAAATAACCGAAGACTATTTTTATATAGCCTAACAAGTTAATCCTCCTTTGTGTTTTTCCTAATTTTCTTCGCTAACAAAAACTGCCATAGTAGCTATTTTAGTGGACATTTATATCACGGACACGGTTTGTTTTTTTCTATAAGTAACGTTACCATAATCCCAGCTAACGGAACGTTCTCAGAACATTGGCCAACGTTCTATAAACGTTCTTTTAAAGTTATGAAAAAACGTTCTTCCAATAGCGTTAATAGCTCATTCAGAGTGATCTGGAGTTTAATAATGTTTGTGAGATGTTCTCTCAAACACATTATCTATACGTTTTTTCCTCTGAAACGTTCATATAACGTGTGTTAAACGTTCTGTCAGTCAGTCACCGCGTTTAACTAGATAACAGACTCAAACAGAGAGAGAGAAAGGCATGCCTTTGTGCTATTTTTATCTTTAGTTATTCTATAATCTTATTTTTTGAATGCAATGCAGTCAAACACAGACAGATACTTTCCCTCTGCGTTGATGTTTCTTTTGAACTTACTCTCCTAAAGTGCATGTAACTAGTAAATGAGACCCATCTGTGTGTTTAATGAAAACCATGAAAGTGTTTGAGATGGTTTTGCAGCAACCGAGACCTCAGCTGTGCATTACAAGTGTTTAGTGACTTTAGTGTTAAAACGTGTCGTTTTAAAAGATGCTACAAACTGTGACTTCTTGGTTATGCCTGAGTTAAACTCTTATTTCATGCATATATAAATGATAATGTAGTTATGTCGTCCATCTCAGTAAGCTGAATGGTTTTTGCAGATGTTTTATTGTGTTTTGTGTCCTGATGGGGGCAGCAGTGCTCGCATATGATGTGGGATTAACTCCAGATTCCCACTATCATATACAAATAACACAAAAATCCAATATATGAGACACCTAGATGCTTGTGTGACACATAAGTAGTTCTGCTAGTATTAAAGGACCGACGCTCATGAAACCTGAAACTTTTATTCATTTATGGAAAATGCATACATATGAAAAGATTATATATACATGACTTTTCCATTTGTATTTTTAAAAATGTTTAAACTAGTTTATATATATTTCTTTTTTTATTTGTTTAGTTCACTTTCCCATATATATTTTATATAAAATATTTTAAAATTGTATTTATTTATTTATTTGAGTTATAATTGGATACAAAATATTTAATAATTGGTTACACGAGTGCTATAAATTGATACAAATGAAGATGCATGATAACAAACTGAAATTAGCTGGTCCACAGGTTTGGGATCGCTATATTACACAAATAATGGTGTGCAAAGAATTAATCATATGAGTGATTTTTGCTTGTTTGCATGAGTTAGTTTGACATATTTCATGTACAGAACTGCTATTATTTTTTCATCGATTTCTAAGAGGAAAACAGCTAAAATCAGATGAATTGCATTGCTCAAGCTCCCCTCGGAGAAAGAAAGCATTGTCAGTTTTCGGTCCAGATTCATTGACCGTCGCCCCCAGAGCAGGATGAGCATTATGGAGATTATTTTGACTGGTGACGCAGAGGATATCCTGAGCCGCGCAGCCGTTAACAGCCTCTTCCGTGGATTCAGTCCTGCAGCACATTGTGTTTGATTCACATTGTTCTCGTTGTTGACAAGCTTGCATTCATCATGACGGGCATCACCTGTGTGTTTTCTGAGCTCGTTCTTCCCGAGCACCGCTGGGTTAGTCAGTTTCCTTTAATTAGTCCAAATTATATTCATGGAGTGTTTTCAAGACTCATGGGAGGTTGAAACTAGATCTGCGTTTAATTGAAGGAGGGCAGCTAATTGTGTTAGCGTGCCATTTTGAAGGATGCATGAGCCACATGGCTGAAGCTGCAATAGTTTACCATCGTCTGCCAAAAGCATTTCTGCGCCCTTGTGCAGAATTCCAGTCCGGCCTCTCAGTGTTAGAAAGCCATCGACCCCTAACATGAATCGTTTAGGAGCCAAATGACCTTTTGTTTCAGTTGGCAGATTACAGAATTGCTCGATTTAGACACACAGTCATCTACGCTCACATCTGACTTAGATCAACATAGAGGTGCAGTAAATGCTATCATTTTAAATTGATAAATTACTGCATTTGAAACTGAATCATGGTTTTTCTTGACTGACATTTGTTCATGAATCAGACATAATGGGCCATGCATCATGACTGATGAATACATAAACAGATGCAATGAACCCTTTTCACAGACTGAGATTCATTTCCAACATTAATAATGGCATACATCTTGCAAATATTTATTTATTTTATAATTTAATGTCAATTTATAAAACCATACTTTGTGCTATAATACTTATAGTACTTTTAAAATCTTTATAATTGAGTGCTTTAGTGTTCAGGTTGTTGTGTTTGTCCTTATGTTTCCTGCTTTTGTTCCTGCATCAGAAAGAATTAGTTTAAACCTTTAAAGTCATCATGAAATGCTGTTTGCAACCCATTTTATTGACACTTGTGAGTGAAACAGGATATTAGTAACTGATTGCAGGGTGTAATCTGAATGTGAGTGTAGTAAAACAATGCAATTAAAAACTAGTTTAGCTAACATTATCCTACATCTTACACGGCCTAAGTGGAAAGTAAATGATGCTTATTTGTATTTCATATTATACAATATTATTTTTCATATTATATGCATGTTTTGGAATGACAGAAAACAAGCTAAAGGAATAGTTCATCCAAAAATGAAAATTTGCTCACCCTCAGGCCATCCGAGATTAGGATGAGTGTGTTCCTTCATCAAATCCAGCATTAAGACGTTTTTAACTAAAATACGAATCTATAATTCATAATAACGCTTCCTCCAGTGAAAAGGTGTTCTGGTCTGAATCAGGAGAGAAATCTGCACAGATCAAGCAGCGTTTAAACAGCTCTAAACTAGGGCTGCACGATTAATCGCATGCGATATTTAACGCGCATCTTGTCAGAAAGCCGGTTCTGTAATCAGCGTAAATCTCCATCACCTGCGGGCTTTCACATTGAGCAGCATTAACTACACAGAGCCGTTGTTCACTGATGAGCAGCGCAAAAAATCGCGCGAATATGAACGTGGTTTAGCGCAGCTCGTCAGTGAACAACGGCTCTGTGTAGTTAATGCTGCTCCATGTGAAAGCACGCTAATTACAGAACCGACTTTACTAACAAGATGCGCATTAAATATCGCATGCGATTTATCGTGCAGCCCTACATCTAATATTTCATAAGAATATTGATATATAAAACAAGCAAATCTTTACATTATATTGCATTTGCAACCATTTCAGTCACAGTCTGCATATATGCGCTAGTGTAGATGTTCACCTGTGTGTGTGTGTAGGATTGTTCATTAGCAGTGTGCAAGTTGCTGAGTAAACAGTGCTGTACTAATGAAAGCTCCCTCGTCCTCGGGTGGGCTACAAACGAGCATAAAAGCTAATGAATCAGCCGCTTCCACTAACACAGGCCTGCTGTAGTGCGCAAGGTGGACAGGTGGTCTGCCAGCGGCTTCGTACCATCACGCTTCACGAACGAGCATAAATAAACAAGCGCTAGGTGATTAAGCCCTAATAATACGACGGCCGCTGTTCTGCGAAGTTAAGCCCCTTTGTAGGTGACGTGCAGAGCTCAAAAACACAGCTAATTAATCCACAATGGGCCAGCGCTGTCCCAATTTCAAAGGCTTTTTCGGTAGAGAGGTTTGTTTGATGCTCGTGGTTTCGGAGGTGAATGTTCGTTTGACCACAGGCGAATATCTCCATTACTGTCAACCTGCGTCTGCAGAGTTTTAATGGCCCTCGATTGACTCATTAACAAATTGCCGGGCCTAGTTTAACTTCACTGCAGCACTTTTCCGTGTTTTCCTGACCTAATTATGATCAGGCCATTGTTTCTTGAAGGGTAGACGCGGCCCCAGATTTTTTGACGGGAAGTTGGCCCACTTGAGCATCGTACGGTTGCCCGAGGCGAGAGATGAAAGCCGCGCAGGAGAGCAGAAGTTTCCTCCACATTCCTGTTCGTCTCCCACATTTGGTGCCATTTTTAATTGTTGCCAAGCATCGATGCCCGGCGCTAATCCCAGAGATTTATTTACATCGACGCTAAATAGAGGAGGCGTAAATATTTGAGCTGCACGCGAGGACCGTGTCGTGCCAAATTGTTTTTTTAATGACACTAATTATTTCTCACGTTTTTTTTCTGGTGTTTATCGTGAACCTGGCATGTGTGTGTCTCTTTCATTGAGCGGTTCATGTTTGCTGAGTGTTTTAGTGTTCGGGTTTGTCCTTCTGTTTCCTGCTTTTGTTCCTGTGTCAGCAGGAATTCATTTGCACCTTTATAGTCAACATGAAATGCTGTTTGTAACCCATTTTATTGACGTATTTGTGGGTGAAACAGGATATTGATTACTGATAGCATGTTGTAAAGAAGACTTTTTAATACGAAGGGAAAAAAATTGGAACTTAATTGAGTGTCGTGGGCCAAAAGTTACGTTATATCCATCTATATTATATTAAATTGTACAGTATTACATTTGTTTATTTATTTAAACTTTTTTTTTCAATTTTAAAATGATTTTTAATCAAATGTTCTTATATTATTGTTTATATTTCAATGCAAAAATAAAGCAAAACATTTGGGAAAAAAAAAAAAAAATGTGACCCTGTACCACAAAACCAGTCATAAAGGTCAAATTTTTTTCTGAAAGCTGAATAAATAAGCTTTCCATTGA